TCAAATAAGAAAGAAAGACACAGATAAAAGTCAGTGAGAGGGCAGGAACTCCTAAACCATTAGTAGTCTCTCTATCTCACATACACACACTTTGGGAGTCACTAGACATTAGATGTTTTACCAAATAAGAATTACTCTAAAACTAAAATAAGTATAAATATATATATATATATACATATATAATTTGAATTTTTGGAAACTTTAGCTGTGCTGTCAACTTTGGAAAAAAGTATCCCAGTTTACCATGTTGAGTTGGCATTGTACAGAAATTAATATTGGTCTAGAAATGTTGAACTTAATTTTTTCCATTTGTATGGGGGTAATGCACTGTATTAAATATGTAAGGTCTTATCTATGTGAATTCGATTACAAAAACTAATAGAGTATTCTCTAAATAAAAAATAATAATAATACATTTCCTCTTCTATGATGCTATCTATGCTCACTATGGGCCTATAGTAACAGTGTCCCTCAAACAGGTGCTGACACTTCTGAACACAGGATCCCAAATAAATACTTTCTGATCTGATGTATTTGTCTCAATGGTGGGAAGCTAACTAACGTAGTCACTAATTGTCTCACCTCTTCTATCTGTCTCTGTTTTATTCTCCATCCACACTACATACTGTTCCAGCTGGTGACAGTCTGAACAATTGTCATGTTACCCTATGCTGCATATCACCTCCGTCCTGTTCCTCCTTACACAGGAAGTCAAATACACGAACAATCCAAGCTTAAGGCTGCGTTTTCAGTTTATCTTCTTGAGACTACTCATAGGGGCCAATTACTACTGTGGTTAGGGCCCAGAAAGAACATTTTGGTACACTGTTAGTGGTTTGAATAAAAATGTCCCCCACAGATGCATGTTTCCACATTTGGTTCTCAGCTGCTGGCTTTGTTTGGGAAAGTTTCAGACCTTTAAGAGAAAGAGCCTTGCTAGAGGAGGTATCACTGAGAGCACTTCGAAGTTTTACAGCCTGGCCTCACATCCTATTCTCTTTCTCTGGTTTCTACATAGGAATGAAATGAGATCAGCCAGCTTTCTTGACTACTAGACTGGCTTCAGACTCTTGCTACCAGGCTGTCCCCACCATGATGAACTGAATCCTCCCCTAGAATGGGAAATCAAAATCAACTCTCTCTTCCCTAACTTGCTTTTCATCCAAACATTTTATTCCAGCAACAGAAAAGCAACTAATATACATATCTAAATGGTTTAATTTGAGAAGCATTTAATAAAAGGGTTGTCCAAACAGAGAGGACACTAAAGAAATCAACAAAAGCAAAGCATCTTTCAATTTCTTACAAAACCAGAAGCAGAGCCGGGCATTGGTGGCGCATGCCTTTAATCCCAGCACTCCGGAGGCAGAGGAAGGTGGATCTCTGTGAGTTCGAGGCCAGCCTGGTCTCCAGAGCGAGTACCAGGATAGGCTCCAAAGCTACACAGAGAAACTCTGTCTCGAAAAAACAAACAAACAAACAAAACCAGAAGCAGACTTTCAAGTGAAAGACAGAAAGCAGGCTGGAGATCAAGGAAATTAAAGGAGAGTTGTGCCATGCTGGAGATAGAGCCAATCAAAGCCATGGTCTTAGAGAAATGCAGCCACTTCCAACAGACCAAGAAAACAACAGGATGACCTAGGGAAATGGATATCCTAACATCTAACTATCAGGCTTTGAGCGTCTATTTCCTTTTCTCTGTTTACTCCTTGTCTTCCATTCCTAGGAGGCAATCAATGTTCTAGTCAATTGTTTCATCAGTAAGTCAAGCTCATAAAATCCTTCCCTTGATCCTATCTGGCTATTTCTCCCTCACCACCTTCTCAATTCTTCTCAGAACTGACAAATTCTTCTGAACTATGTTGCAAAAATCTGATTATTCCCATTCCTGTGTAAACCTGAATGTGTCCATGATAAATTATTCCCGTTAAACAAATGATCAGTCTGGTTCTATTCTAGTCTCAACTGGAATTTGTTTGCTAAGAAAGTTCTCAGGCTGTCTGGACTATTAATCAAAAAAGGAAACAGTGCTATAGAGTTTTCTTCTAAATGCTTGGTTCCTTAATGACAATTGACAAGTGGCATGCTCTTGCTGTGTGAGGTAAAATTGTAGATATGCTAGATACATATATGCCAAGATATCAAATGCTTATATGGAACAAATATTTATAGTGAAGTTATTGATCTCTAAACTTGAAAGAGCATCATTTATAAAATATTAGGATAAAATACATGTTTCTCTACAATCTGTGATATAAGTAAAATATCACTATTTGATTCTATCCCACTTTCAGCTGTTTTCTTGCCCAGTGTTTTCTATTTAGTCCTCCAGATCTGTTCAACCATTCTCTACTCTGTCCTTTACTCTGAAGCCATGTGAACTTTGATTCTCTGCTTCCTTCCTTTTGAGATCTTCCCATTGGAGAAGGGAATAAGCAGAAGTGTTATTTTTCTGGTTCTTGAGGTCATCTTGGGTTTGTTGCTAGTCCTTTCATGGATCTGCTTATCTCCTTTCTGCTCTGTCAGGTCTCCTTTCCCAAGTACTGGGGACTGTGGGATAGATTCATTGTGTCTGGATCTAGCTCTGGACTCCTGTATGGTTCCTTCTGTTTCCCTGCATCACGTATATCTTAGAACAGGTTCTTTTTAAATAAACTCTTCTTGAATCATGCTAATTTTGGTGTGCCGTCTCTGGATACATCGACATTCATCACAGAGTCCAGACAGATATAGAGTCAAGGTTACTGTTGAGTTTATTGAGAAGTAAGCTGACAGTTGATTTGATCAAGTTCACACTACTTACACAATCTCAACATTTCCCAACAGGGAGTCTCTTCCATAAATAACATTTCCATTGTTTTTCTTGTTTCATAGCATGCAATGCATATTCATTTGTTTACAGTTTCTTTTCTTTGATTATGTGATTAAAAGATGAAAGAAAATAAAAGTAAAAAATTCCAAATACTTATATCAAAATACAGCTATGTATATAGAATAATTATACTCATAAAATATATGTTAAATTATTTTCTTTGAAAGTTAAGACAAGGTTTTGTTTTGTTGTATTTTGACTATAAAGCATTTAGATTTTAACTGAACATGAAGATAGATATAAATGTTCTCTTTAATTATTAATCTTAGAAACAAAATTACAGATTAATTTAGTACTAACCACCCAACAATGGCTCATGTATACAGAATTTTTTTCTGTTCATATAACTTAAAATACTATGAATAAAACAAATACCAATGGAAATATAAAAGTGGTTTCCATATTAAATGACCTTCGTATTATTACTTAGTAGAGAACAAAAATGCTCATCTTCAGAATGGTATCCCTGAGCTCCCTAAGTATGACTCCCACGGGCTTCTATAATTTTAGGTGGCTTATCTGTGCAGTGTTTACTTCTGATATCTTCTAATTCACTATCTGCAAGTAGAATTGAAGCCAGCACTGGAACCTGTGAAAAATAGTTTTTAGCCAGGATATGTTTGTGCTTGATCTTGTGAATAAAAAGACGTTCATACCCCTGCAAACAAAAGAAAATAAAATTCTATGGAAATCCTTACATGTATATTTTGCCATATGAAACAGAACCACATCTTAGTATGCTTTATTTGTTTGCTTATTTGTTTGACTATATTTATCAGTTTACTCAAACTAGGGTACATTTTCTTCTCACTATGTCTCTTATCTTTGGGGGCTTAGTTCTTGTGATGCTTCAATTTAAAGTCTACCAAGATACACTCTTTCCTCTATCTCTCATTCCTCTCTGTCTCTTCTCTCTCTCTCCCCCCCTGTGTGTCTTTCTGTCTTTCTCTATCTGTCTCTCTCTCACTCCCTCACCTCTCTTAAGTCCAAACTATTGTTATTAATTCTTGAGTCTTTTCCCATATATATGATGTGAGACAGGATGTACCCAGGTTTGTATGTTTGATCCCAGTGGCATGTAACAAGTGACAAATTTCTTTGCTTACACATACATACATGGGGACAAAGCTTACATTTTAAGGTGGCTTCTTAGAAAGATTCACGCCTCAAGCAGCTTTATACTTTTTGCCATACCTGGGCAGTAGATATGACTCTAATGAAGTTACCATCTTTCACTCTAGATCCATATGCATGAGGGGGGAAGCCAGAAGTTAGAGGAAGCTGAGGGAAAGGCTGGAAGAGCTGAGTTTCTGAAACCATTGTGGAAACACCATCCTAGCTAGGAACTGCCACCCCTGGCCTCTTTATTGCTTAAGTAACCCCAATTTGATTAAGTCATGATATATTTGCTCACTCTCTTATTATGTTTGAGCCCAAATGCAACCAAAACAATGAAAAATTGTGTTCATTCCATTTTTTGTTGTTGCTGATTTTTTCCTTCACAGCACTTTACACAGTATTCACGACATCCAAAATAAGTTCTGACAAAATTAATAAATATCAGCTATTCTCTTCAGTGTTCTCAATCAGGTGTCTATTCACCTGATCACAATGCTACCTATGTCTCCCTTAAGTTTTATTTTCTGAGAGTAAGACATTCTGCACTGCAGAGCCTTTATAAGGCCAAAGAGGAAAGTCAAAGAAAGCCCTGAGAACAAGAAAGTGTGCAGTAGAAATAGCCTGGCTCAGAGTACTTTCATTGACAGAGTTATCACCCAAAGTAAATAATGCCAGACACTAAATGGAGATCATTTAATGGTCTATTTGTTTCCAAAACTTCACTAAGATGAGATGGCATCATCTCCTTGCTATAGATGAAAAAATGCTAGCATTAAAGCATCAACAAATGAGTCCCATCCTACTTCATGAGCTCACTGCAACTTTCATTCTTTTTGTTAACACCACATTTTTAGCCAGTCTTCTCAATTTTTGTAATGCAAAGACAGTCTTCATGTGCACAGCTCGATAGTGACAAAGACAGGGAAGATACTGGGACATGGGAGAAGATTTTTAGGGAACTACTGGCTCAGCTTTAGCCAATTTACATACTGTGAGAGAGAGAGTAGTCCTCACTCTGCTCCCTCAACAGAAGTCCTTTGCCTCTGCCTTGCTGCAAGGAATGGAGATCACTTTATACTCTGTGGTGATGGTGGTTGTTGCAGTGGTGGTTGTTATGGTGGTGGAGGTGGTGGTGGTTGTCATGGTGATGGTGGTGGTGGTGGTGGTGATGGCAGTTGTCATGGTGGTGGTGATGGTGGTGGTTATGGTGATGGTGGTTTTTATGGTGGTGATTGCTGTTTCTGTTTCATGGTTGTGTTTGTTTGTTTGCTCTGTTTGTTGTTCATTCGGGGAAAACAGGTGTCTATGTCTTTAAAGAGCATTCTGGAAAGGCTTTGATTTGCTGCAAAAACTTGAACTGTTCAAAAAGGAATGAGTATTAAGGCTTGCAGGGTGGCACACTGAAGGCTGTAGAGAGAGGGAAATGCTTGGCGTTAGAGCAAGAGCCTCTGTTCCACTCACAGAGTTCAGAACGACTGGCATCCTGAGATTAGAAATGCTCCCGAATGGAACATTTAATTTGAGACTTCAGTGATTTGATTAGGTACACAAAAGAGTTGTGTGGATTAATTGAAGAAGAACTGGAATGTCAGCTTTGGGAATGAATTTCAGTTTCATCGAAGGTCCTAGATGAAATGATATCCCTAGTACTGGCTGTGCTTCAAGTGATTAAATATTTATGAAGCAGCTTAGTTTACTAAATATAACATTTAACATAGCTTCAATTTCTTGCTGCCCTTTCTTTCAATCCCTAGAGTGAATTTTCTCATAGCCTGGCTTCTTAGAACTCAAAAATTTTGGGGAAAGGCTAAAATTGTAACTAGTTTCCTCTATATATAATTTCCTCAACCTCCCTTTAAAAAGTAGCATCCTGCTTGGGACAGCATTGTTCAGAATGGCTGCATTTGATGTCATTGTTTTATTCTCCTTTCACTGCATCTTGTGCCTAGAGTTAAAGATACAGTAATATAATAAATTGAGAGGGAACTGAGCCAGCTCTTGGGATTGCACTTGCTGAGTGTAAATGGAGCCCTCTAGGAAGGCTTTAAGGGCCCCTCAAGTTTATTCATCAGAATGCATTACAAATTTCATCTTGTAAATTACTGAAATTAAGTAGCAGTTAAGTTTTGCAGTGCTTTCTCCATTCCTAGTTAGGTGGAAGAATGGGAATCTCACCAGTGTGAATGCTGTTTAAATCCCAAAGTTATGAACAGAATTTATTTGACAATTGAGTACTTTTTAAGGCAAGCTCCTGCTGATAAATCAAAGGGAAAACTCTGGGTTTCATAATATTTATATATTAATAACAAGCATTATTCATTATACAGACACTTATTTGGGGCCTTATGTTTTAAATTAACATGCAAAATAATTTCATCATGGCATCATCCGACAAGAATGTCATATATTTGGCTAATGTTCATCCCATCTCTTTTCTTCTCCTTTTCCCCAGCCACTGTTGACTCCTTCCCTCCCCCCAAATTGTCCCTCTTCTACTTTTATGTAGCTTTTTATTTTCAAATTTTATATATTATATGTAGAAGAAAGCATGCCATTTGTCTGTTCAGCTCTGACTTACTTTAACACTATGTTCTGACTATAATGCAAATACATACATAGCATAACATATGCATATCCATTCATCAGTTGACTGGACCTAGGTTAATTCCATATCTTGTCTGTGGTGAAGAGTGCCACAGAAAAATTGTGTGCAGGCCTTTCTGTGGCATTCAGACCTATATTCTATCAGGCATATACTCAGGAGATAGCATAGCTGAATCACATGGTAGTTCTAGAACTCAGATGTTGAAGATTTCGATAGTGGATGTACCAGTTGACATTCTGATAGCTGTGCCCCCCTCCCCGCCACCACCCCCCATGCTGGTCAAGTATTCAACAAATACTTGTCAAACTCCTGGTCTTCAACAGGCATTATTATTATAGGTACTAAAGGGATAGAAACACAGAAGTGAAACAAAGTCCTTCACAGAACTCACTGTGAAATGAATGTGCCCAAACTTGTTAGAAGAGGGTATGATAATATTAGATGCTTATATATTCAAATCTTTCATCCTTACCCCAATATACCTTACCTTACCTTTTCATTTTCACACCTGCAATACACAACATCCACATTATATTGCTATTTTCGCCCCATATATGGGTCTCTTGATTCAACAGAAACCTTTCAGACAGGCATTGGAATATTAAAGGGTACTCAGCATGCCTGTTATAATCCCATTGGCTAAGTTCAAAGTTCATAGTGCAGCATCTTACCTCCTCAATACTCTCTAGCTTGAGGTGAGCTGCCCCTTCATCCTTGGTGAGAAGAATACAGTTCCAAGGAGACCACTCCATGCTCTTATCCCACCTGACCATGACCAGGTCATTGAGATCATCCCAGGCACTGAGGACGGACTGGGAGGCCCAGATGTTCTCTGTCAAGTACTTAATATCTTGGAGCTGCATGCCAAAATAAGGTTGAACAGTCATTTTGTTTCCTTCTAAATAAACAGCTTAAATATCAACTTATTAATTGGGAAAACAATTAAATCGTGCTGAATGACTTTTCAAAGGGGAACATCATTCAAAAGACTTTTCTTTCTTAAGCCACAGCCCAAACTTTGCCATCTTCCAGTCGCCCACATGACATCTGCTATCTCATTCTCTGACTATGACGGCCCATCTCCTATAGCTAGCATACTCCATCATACTTGCTCTCAGTTTTTTTAAACATCTGCCCTCTGTTCTAGGATGCAATGTCTGATTTACCAGCAAATTAAGAGCATAGTATAGAACTTAAACACCAAGAGCACATCTGTGCATGAAACTCAGGAATGCTACAACTGTCTACTTTAGGAAATCCTACGTAATATTTCCCAGACAAAACTGTGCTCCAATGTACTGAACTTCATGTCAATACAGCCCCTTAGGAAACAGGCTCTCTGACTGATGTATTTCAAGACTGGCATCCTTTACAGATCGTACCTGCATGAGGTAAGCAATCTGAGAGTCATCCGCAAAGTCAGCTTCTGAGAAATAGAGCCGCTGAAGTAAACACTTGTACTTCAAAAACGATTCCCGTTTTTCAATCTCATTCTCAAGGTTCACACAGTGGCGGCAGCGGTACATACGACGTAAGGTGGGTGACACAGAAAATTCCACAGACGGCAAATACAACTGGCAACTGTGGCAAAAATAAATCTTATCATAAAACTTCAGTGGGTCTTGAGGGACCTAAATAGGAAAAAATAAAAAAATGATGAAAATCCAAGCCACATACTTTAAACACTGAACTTCTTAGAATTAATTCTAAAACTAATTACTTAAAGAGTCCTATTCTGGGGGCTGGAGAGATGGCTCAGCAGTAAGAACACTGCCTGCTCTTCCAAAGGTACTGAGTTCAATTCCTAGCAACCACATGGTGGCTCTCAACCATCTGTAACAAGATCTGGTGCTCTCTTTTGGTGTACAAGCATACATGCAGGCACAACATTGTATACATAATAAGTAAATAAATCGTTTTTTTAAAAAAAAGTCCTAGTTTGCTTTTTAACTGCCTATTCTGTCTGTACAAGATTTAAATTCTGAGGAAGATTCATTTTCCTGGTCAAAGCATTAAAAACCTGTGTTACTCTCCAACCCCTGGATAGACAATGGCAGAGTATTTAGAAAATCGAGGTTCTGACTCTTAGTATAAAATATATTCTTAAAAAAATATATTCTTTTTGTCTATTACTGGGAATGAGGGGTGGCAATCTGCACTCGGCGATCTCATTCAATATTATACTGGAAGTTGTTTCCTGAGTGATGCAGAAGGGAAGGAAGTTGAGTCAATTGGAAGAGGCAGCGGGTAACGTTCATCTCAGTGCTGTTGACCTGAGAGCTTTGCAGAGGCTGTCTGCCGGTCTTTTCCTCTGTGATGGTTTTAGTGAGAAATCTGCTGAGGTCCTTATTTTTGTCCTACTGTGTGCAGGCTGCTCTTTCTCCCTGGCCATTGGTTGGGGCTTGGTGTCCTTTCCTTTGTTTCTTGTACTTCATGCTTCCCTGACTTGTCTACAGGATTCCTTTTTATTCATCAAATTCGGAATAATGCTGGCTGTAATTTTAACAGTGTGTTTCCTCTAGCCTTCTCTCTCTTCTGATTTGAGATTGTGACATACACTAAGACAGTACTTGAGCTTTTCCCACAGTTCAATGATGCTAGCATTGGTTTTCATTCTTTCTCCATATGTGTCATTGTGCATAGTTTTTATTGTCTTCTAGTTCAGTGACTACTCTTCTTTATTGATATAACCAATCTCCAGTGTCATTTTTTTCAGCTTAGGTGAGGTGGCTTTCTTCTTCAGGAATTTCACACTATGTCTTCACTATCTTCTCTTCATTTTTGAACATCTAAAAGTTCTTAGGAACTGATCTACTGTCTTGTTCTACTAACTCCAACATTTGTCACTGTTAGGTCAACTCTGAATAATGATTTAGCTACTTGTTTTATTTATCACATTTTGTTTCTATGTCTCAGAAGTTTTTGGATGCTAGATGTGATGAACTTTTCTTTAATTGTGAATATCTTTATTCCTATCAATAGCCTTATTCTTTTTTCTGGGGCACAGTTGAATTGCTTATAAAAGTTTGATCCATTAATATCTTGGTTTTAAGTTTGTATTTTTTTAAGCAAGAATAAAGCAGTTCTCCACTTGGGAGTATCTTCCTTTACCTGCCAATTACCAGATGAACTAGGGTGTTCCATTCTATCACGGGAACAGGCAAGATACAACCAGCCTCGTGTTAGGTGTTGAATGTTGTTACAATTTGCTCTTATGGGCATCTTTCCTCAACCTTGGGCCTTATCCCCACATTCGGGCTGAGCAGAATTCAGTTGAATATGTAAAAGGGATTGTGAAGTCATGTGGAGTTCTTTCTCTGTGCAATCCCCTCACTTTAGCCCTGTGTCCTTCAGGGTTTAGTCACAGAGGTCTTGGGACAGACAAAGTCTCATTCTTTCAATTCAGCTTGAGGACTCTGCAGCAGGTTCTTTACCCTTGCGCACAGGCAGTCTTTCAGAGCCAATGAGATCAGTATAGACTTAATCTGTTTGTTCTTCTTCCAGAAATCACAATCTCCCATTGCCTTATGGCTAGTGTCTTGAAAAACATTGTTTACCTTTCTTTACTCCAAGTCAGTGGGCAACTCCGAGCTAGCCAGTGTTGGCCAGAAATACAAAAAAAAAAAAAAAAAAAAAAAAAAAAAAAAAAAAGACTGAAATTATATGTGACAAAGGAGTCATGACAATTCAGTGAAGATTTGTCTTTTTTTCTAAGTATGAAAAATAGTTAACAGAACTAAACAAGAAAATGACCTTGACTAACCTTTGTAGTGTAAGAAAAATAACACAAATGTTTCAAAGCCCCAATTATAAAACTTAGAGTGACAAAATTCTAGGATAAGACAGAAGGCAACTTTTGCTGCCTGAAGTAAAGCTGGTTTGTTAAGTACAAAAGAAGGATCATGCTCCTTTCTTTTTTTTTAACCATTTAACTTGCTTTCATGTTTCTTCAGAAACAGTGAAAATACTAAAGTAACTAAACTACAGACAAGGAATAATCATAATGTTGCGGTCAGCATTATATAAATTACATAAATTTGGAATTTTAAATTTAAACCATTTTCTGGTTTAAAAGCTAAATCTGGTTGTCAGTGCAGTTCTGCAGGTCTCTCTAGTAGGGCTGGTCTCTACATTCCTGATGGTGCTCGCCTTTATCCATTTCCCCAGTCCCCCAGGTCCACCTCTTCTTCCTCCCATCTGTTCCATCTCAAGGAACTCTGCTGCCCATAGCTGCTGCTCTGTTGGCCATATTGACTTAGAACCTGGCTGTAGGATCCAGTCTGAGGGAGGTAACTAGTGATAGGCTGCTGCCCATAGCTGCTTTGTTGACCGTAGCTACTCTGCTGTGCATAGCTACCCAGCTGCCCATAGCGGTTCTGCTGAGAGTACCTGCTCTGATCATAATAGTCCAGTATGGAGAGGAGTAGCTGGTAGGAGGATAGGATGGAGGCACCTTGGCTGCTGCATGGGGTAGCTCTTAGATACCTGGGGATAATTGTAATTACAGGGTCCATATCCTAGGCTAGGCTGGTTATTACTGAAGTGATACAATGGGAAACCTTTCCTCGAGTCTTTTTAATTAAATAGAATATGAATAATAAGGATGTTTTGTTTTTCTAGATTTTTGTCTACATTTTGAGGGGTTTTTTGCCAAAAATCTAAAGATAGGCAATGCCCTGTATTATAATTCTAAAAAGAAAAAAATCCTACAGCTATGACTCTTCAATGAAACTTCCCAATTCACTAAAGTGTGTTAAATAGCTTTGTAAGAAAATAATGGGGTATTCATTTTTGAAAATGAGTAGGAGTTGGCTGGAGCAAACAGAGCACAGCCCTGCAGATGGGGGCAAAATCTGGGGGTGTGAGAGATCACTGTGTCTTCAACTCTATGCAACAACTGGAAAGTCAATTCAGCTCTCAGAGACGACCTCAAGGCAGAAATTTCATACACAGAAGAGGTTAATGGGAAAGTGGAGTTTAGCAGCATTACTAAATCCAGAGGGCTCACCGAGTGATGGTCTTACTTAGATCTGTAGTAAAGTATAGAAGCAGACACTGAATATCTTTCAATTAACGATATAAAATCTTGGGACTTTGAAAATAAGTACAGTAAGGCGAGTACCTTAAGGTGTCTTGCAACTTCAGGATTAAACAGAGGTGTTTTGATGTAGTGAAAAAGGAGTGTCGTGATCCTTTTCCTGAGTCCTTCAAGATTATTAGTTTTGACTCCTCTCATCATAAGGTCAACTTCTCTGTCAATCAATTCTAGGATTTCTTGGGTCAGTTTACATTCATGTTCCTATACAAAACACAGAGGTACTCAGTAAGTATAATTATTTTAAATCTCTATTTTTTGAAAATACCAAACAAACAAGAATCCCTGTTCTAAAACATTTTAAAGGCTGACAGGAGTAAAATTTGGTACAACTGATTGGGTATCAAATTATCATTAAATAGTTGGCTTGATAATGTGTAAGTTATAACCCAGCAATTCTTTGCATAGGTGCTTTAGAGAATCTAAAAAACCTAGTGTATCTAAAAAAAAAAAAAGCTATTGTTCACAGTAGCCAAAGGTTAGAAATAACTAATTATTCATAAGCAAATTGATATATAAATAAATCATAGTTTACCAATATAATGAATGGGCTTTATGGAAATGAGTAAACTATATGATTGCTATAAATCTTAATGCTGAAGTCTTATGGAGTCAGCAAAGTGAACCAGACACAAATTGTTACACACAGTGTAATTTCAAGAAAGGTCAAAAGTAAAAACACTGAACCAAATTATTTATAGGCTTGTACAGAAGAAGCAAAACCATTAAGAAAAATCAAGGAAAAGACACCCATGAAAGTTACTGTCCACTGGTGATTACTTCAAGGACACAGAAGGAAGTCTAAAAGGAGGAAAGAAAGGGGCAGAGGGGTGCAAAGGGCTTTAAATCGTACTTTAGCAATGTTGGAATACCCTGTTCAACACTGCTAGACTATTTATCTGTGTTCCACACGTCTATTTTATCATCCAGCACTGTTTAGTAAAGAACTGAAATTCAGTAGTTTGAACAAGAAAAGTTCAGCTAGGAGTTAAGGACTTCGAACTCTATTCATAAGCAGTGAAACAGAGGTAAGTGCATCCCACTGTCTGGGGAAAAACAGATGGTATACAGTTTCTGTGGAGGAAGATGAAGGGCAAAGACAGTGACTGTAAAACAATGTTTGTTCCTACTTTTCCTAGATATTTGCTAATATTAACAAATTGAAAACCTGAACGCAGTGGTGCTTCCTCCTGGAAGCCTTTTAGAGGGGCCTTGAAGAAAATGAATAGATTTTCATTGATACTGCTTCCATGCTTAAGGATGTAAGTTAGTGTCTCTGACATGTTGTCTAGACCTTATTCTTACTTGTATAGTCCCAGACTCATAGTCCGTCTGTCTCTCTGTCTCTGTCTCAGTCCCTCCCTCTTCTCCCCACCTCTGTGTGTGTGTGTGTGTGTGTGTGTGTGTCTGTCTGTCTGTCTGTCTGTCTCTGAAACTCTAAGTGATTCTAGTGTATACTCAGGTTTAAAATTCATTGCTCTTTATTAGTATATATAAAGTAGACAGATATATATTTAGTAGACAGATACATACATGCATCTTTAAGTAGCTTATTTGATGATATTTAAGCTTATTTTAGGTCAATGGAGTCAGAATTTGAGATATATTTATGCCTTTATCTTGCTTCAAACTGTTGTTAAATTAATTTCATCCCAATAGTTTATGTTAAACAAATTCAGACACATGGTCATCTTTGGATATCATACCTGGCCTTTTTAGTTGACTAGGGATTGTCCCTAATTATCAGGTAGGAGGATTCCCTACATGTGCTCTCTTTCTCTCTTTGCCAACCTGTCATTACATGACCCTCCAGAAACATCCTTATTTCTTGCCTCTCAACTTTGCTTCTTTGCTATCTGAGAAGGCTTCTGCCAAGTCTGTTTTCAACACCAGCATCTTTGCAGCAGTAGCCCAGAGAAAAGGCAGCTCATGCCTCTCCTCCCCAGACAGGCAGAGATGCATAAAACCTATGAGCTAATTATCTAACTCTGTAGTGTGTCTTAAGACCTCTTGTGTATTGGGGTTCTGACTTTCTCAACAGAAGAGTTCTATGTAGTTAAGGGATAAAGAACTGAAAGGGGCTATCTACAAATTACGATTGTTAAATTCTTGGGCTTGTCAACAGACAGATTGGTTAGATGGAGTTAAATACAGCGAGTATTTTTCCAGTTGTTATTTTTAGTGAAATACTGTTTTTTATTGCTTGAAACTGTGGGTCACACTGATGGCAAAACTGACTGACCACACAGTTATTTAATCCATTTATTTATGTCCAGACTTTAATTCTTTCATATAGATGATCACTCATAGACAATTGATGTCAAATTATGTCACAAAAGGAGAAGCTGCTAAGAGCTTATCTTCAAGAACTCAAAACACAACTTAGAAACAAAACACTGTACCTGAATTCCCTCATTTAATATCCCGGCAATTCCAATGATATATGCCCAAGATTACTTTCATTTGGAGCTGTCAAATGCAAGAGTACTACTGGTCCTAGTGATACTGGAATGCACCCCTCTACCCTTAGAAATATGGAAAGCATACAACCTTCAGCAAACAGAGTGTGGTTCCCAGACCACGCCCCCCCCACCATATGTGAGGATTGATGTGGAAGACAATTCTTTACTAATGCTGTCCCCCCTCCCTCTTTCCCCCTCTCCTCCCTCTCCCCCTGCCCCCTGCCCTCTCTCTCTCTCTCTCTCTCTCTCTCTCTCTCTCTCTCTGTCTCTCTCTCTCTTTCTCTCTCCCCCTCTCCCCCCCCTCTGAGACTGACACTTGTGAAACACAGCCATCTTGGCTGAAGATAACTACTATATTAGTCGAAAATCCAGCCTTGCCCAAAGCATGGTGTCAAGAGTCATCTCAGGAACATTCTGAATCAAATAACTAATCAACTAAGGAGGGGAAAAGCCCCAGGATTTCCATGTGAATCGGTAGTAAATGGGAATGAAAAGCAAATGGATTTCTGCCCTAGGTCGAGCTCACAAAAGAGATACAGGAAGTTCGGGGGGAGGGAGGGGGAGAGAGAGAGTTTATGAATCTGTCCTGCGATTGTGTACTTGGAATGGAATATGCTGGAGTTGGCATGGCCTCCTTTGCTCTGATTACCTTGAGCTGTGAGGTAGTGTAACCAGGAAGACCACAGGGAAAGCCTCAGAAACTGCCCTCACCTAGGGGTAGCGGCAACAGGGACAGGGAGGGTCCCACTTAGTTCTTGGAGATATTTTGCCTCCTGTGACTTAAACTTGGGGCAATTCAAGTTTAAAGGTCCTAATCCCTAAGTTAGAAAGCTTCCTCCGGCAGAGGATACACTACCCCTTTGAGCTCTACTTCTCCCCGGGTCAGGAGATCTGGAGAAGACAGTGTCCACATCCTTAGAGATGTGACTGACTCTGATTTCCAAAAGACACTGGAGGTGCTATTACCGCCCTGGGGATAAGGATCTCGTGTGCTTGGCACTCAGGTCTGGGCAGCCCCTGGTAAACACTTGCGTAGCTTTGAGAGAAGAGCACGTTGCCCTGTATTCTGGAGTTCTTGAGCCCCAGGGGGGATAGGAACGTTGTGAAGCCGGGGTGAGGAAACATTAAAATGAATAGCAGAGGGAAAACAGGGGAGTCTGTTGAGGCCTTGATGCCTGTATGTACTTTGCTCATTAACCTCACTACTATAATTTTATTCAGGAAAAGAAAAGAATCGATCCAAATCGGAGGAACCGATCACCAAGGAAATAAATCCAAGCAGCAGTCTGTGTTCTGTAGCCGGACTGGAAACTCTCACTCGCCCCCTCCTGGTGAGTCGTGGGAAGACAACCCTCAACTCAGTCTAATTTTTGAGTGCTACTGCTTTCAGCGACTGACTTAGTTTGCTAGGGCAAACTCACACCCTTAATTCAGTGAAATAAGTGAACAGTCCTGCTCCTTGCTCTGATACTGGGCAAACCCTCACGGCATGCCCAACTTCAAAGTTCTGGTGAAACTGATACGATTGCACCCGCTCTGAGTGTCCCAATGATCCTGGAGCTTCCCCCTTCTGAACATGAACGTTTCTTTCTATCTACTTTCTATATTCAAGCATGCCCAGGGAAACTTCTGAAAGCAAATCCTTCTCAGAGTCTATTCTGGAGTAAACCTGACTCATGACATCCACTGTATAACTTTCATTTGAAGACAGAAAATTAATAGTACGTGAGGGGGCAAAGAGAAACACACATCTATATGGCTTTATAACTGCTTAAAAAAAAAAGAGCATCTAGGTGGCTCAGTGGTAACAGCACTTGCAAGCTTGAAGACTTGTCTTCCATCTACCCATCTCAGAGTGAGGAAGGAGAAAATCAATCCTGAAAAGTATCTGTGACCTCTACGTATGCACTGTGACACACATGCACAAACACACAAAATCAGTAACACTAGATAAAACAAAATTTGTAATGACTACAGACAGCTTTTCATTGAAAACTGTCCAAAATGTAGAAAACAATTGCTGTTTTCTAATTCCATTTTTAAAATCATGGCTTACATGGCTTATAGTATTTTTAAAACCACATATTTACATGGCTATATAAAGATGAATTTGCATTTGAATATACTATGTTTACATGTATTATGTCATCACAAAATACATATATAATTTTTCAAGGCTGCAAATCAGATCCACAGCTTTGTGCCTGATTGTCACCGACATAGGACAGATTTTGAGAGGTTTTAGTTAAGGATTAATTCATAAGCCATTTCTATCCCCAAGTTATCAAAATAACTTAGCTGTTTATACAATTTCATGTATGCATTCAAGCATTTACTAATAACTTTAATGCCGGGGTCCATAAAGATGACTCCACTGCTGACTAAAGGCCAGAGAGTTCAAAACTGCCCTTAGTAAGTCATAAAACCTAAAGGTGTGGCCCTCCTGATTTTATTCTGTGTCTCCATTTTTTCCTTTAATGTCTTTAGCTAGCTTTTTCTTTATCCACACTCCCCCTCTCAGGTATGAACTGTGGGCTTGTCGACTGGCTCCAACTGCAGCCCCAAAAAGACAGCTTCCCACATTTTATCATTACGTGAAGAAAAAGAACTTGCCGGGCAGTGGTGATGCACATCTTTAATTCCAGCACTTGGGAGGAAGAAGCAAGCAGATCTCTATGAGTTAGAGGCCAGCCTGATCTACAAAGCTATTTCCAGGACAGCCAGAGCTGTTATACAGAGAAACCCTGTCTTGAAAGAGAGAGAGAGAGAGAGAGAGAGAGAGAGAGAGAGAGAGAGAGAAATAGAGAGAGAGAGAAGAAAGAAAGGAGAAAGGAAGGAAGGAAGGAAGGAAGGAAGGAAGGAAGGAAGGAAGGAAGGAAGGAAGGAAGTTGTGATTCCAGTATCCAGCTGATCTTTTTATTGATGGTGACCTTGACCTGAAACCTAAGAAAAACAGTGGACATACCTTCACAGTGTGCTTCAGGGTCAGGAGTATATCCAGCCTCTCATCCTGAGAGAGGTCTTTCAGCATGATACACTGGTAGATGCTCTGCAATTCTCTGGCTCTTATAGTGAACTGTGTGTCCATTTCAATGTCCTGGCCATCAGGTCTCCTCCAGATCTTTGGAGCTGAACACTTGAAAATAATATTATTATTGCAGATTATAGTTAATTAAAGACCAAAATAATAAGTTTGTTCCATCCACTAGAAATCTGTCTTAAGTAATAACTAAAAGCATTGCTAAAAATTTAAGAAAGATAATTGGAGAATTTCTAGACCATGGAAAAGTAGAATATTTATTTATCCATTTATTTATCTTGGATGAACTACAGATTGAATTTGGAGTTTCATTTTTTAAGATTTATTTATTATGTATACAGTATTCTGTCCATATGCACACCTGCAGGCCAGAAGAGGGCACCAGATCTTGTTACAGATAGATGGTTGTGAGCCACCATGTAGTTGCTGGGAATTGAAAGCAGGACCTTTGGAAGAGCAGCCAGTACTCTTAACCACAGAGCCATCTCACCAGCCCAAACACAGGGTTTCTTATATGCTAGGTAAGAACTCTACCATTGAGGTCTAAACCCACGGAGCTCTGGATTGGAACATTTTACTATGGTCTGAACAGAGTATGTACCACTCTATTGTCAGGGAGGAGAAAAAAAGACAGATCAAGACATTGTTGGACTCCACTGAGCATATCATATAAGCAAGTCTGATGACTTCTTGGGGTTGATGAATCCAAGTCTGATGAATCCTGGGAAGATAGCTCACTGGTTAGGCATGCTCGTGGCTATTACAGCGGTCCCAAATTCAGATAAGCTCCCAGCACCCACATGGTAGCTCACAATTATCTGTAATTCCAATTCCAGAAGATCCAAATCTTCAGGTCTCCACAGGCTCCGGCTCACAAGTGGGGCACATAAACATACTGAAAATTGTATCTTTTAAAAGCAATTAAAGGTACTTCTGCAGTACAGGAGGCAGCCTGTCAATCGTATAAAGACATTGGGAGTGAGCAGACATTTGTTCAGTCTGCAGAAGGGCACACACATCTCTAAGACTGAAAGTTGGGGTCTGATTTATATTATTTGACATGATGAATGGCTTTATCTATATTAAGAATTATTCACTGACTCAATAGGGAGGACAGCATACATTTAGCATGTATTTTTCTATTATCTGCCTAGCTATACATTGACTATGTATTCATGTGTATTGGTCATGTGCCTTGCCAATTGAAGATAAATTTCATAGGGCAGTTGTGGTGGTAATCTTTAACATTTGAAGACCTACAGATATCTCAGAAAGGGGATGTGTGAGTTATGTCTTGGTGTCTTACAGAGAATAAGTCTGTAGTAAGTTCAAAGTTCTTCACATAGCAGGTTTCCACAGTGAAACAGCTCTACGGTTGACCCTCTATCTGTGTGTTCTGCATCCTCAAATTAAACTAACCACAGGTCAAAAATACTTCTAAAAGAATTGTATCCAGCTAAACATGGTGCTACATGTCTACAATCCCAGCACTTGGGAAGTGGCAGCATGAGGAACAAGAGTTCAAGACCAGCTTCTATATAGTTAGTTGTAGACCAGCTGAGGCTACATGAGGACTGCTGTAGGGAGCCGTCCCTGCATTCTCCATTACAATGATGGTGCCTGCAGGCACTGAATGTAAATTATTTCGCAGGCGCTGGGTAATTATCCATTTCTTTGATCTCTGCCTATCCCGTGGCGACACGTTCCAGGCGGCTGCTGCCAGCCTTTATTAGGGGACGGGATTCTTGGCTCGGGGTCTCCGCTCTGGTAAGCTTATGCTCTCCTCTCTCAAGATGCATTAAAGCTTTCCTGCAGAAGGATCCGAATGTCCTGTGTGATTCTTGCCGGCGAGAATATCGCGCGGGACATCTGGTGCCGAAACCCGGGAATTTGTTAACATCACCGGCACCGCGGAGACCCCTTGGCTACAAGGCGGATTCAGAACTGCAGGGTGGTAAATTCGGAGAGGTATGTCTTTTCTGGACTTTGGCTTGGGAATGTTGCTATTTTGGGAGGTTAATGTAGAGGCTTCTGTGCTTTTACTAGGAGCCATTTTGACCTTTCTCACTGTTGTAGCAACCTTAAAGAAGTCCAGAATTACATGTCAGAAACCGAATGTAGTGAGAGATGGGGCGCGCCCAACAATAAAATATAAGGAAAAAGGACCTCCCGGGATGTCTAGTGACAAGGGAGTATGTATAAAAAGAGAAACAGCAACGAATAAGGAAAAAGGACCTCCTGGGATGTCTAATGACAAGGGAGTGAGTAATTTGTTAGATGATTCTGTAAATAAGTTTAAAGCTTTAAATCTTGATAGCTCTGATGACTCTAAAAGCTCAAGAGATAAAGTTTTAGAGGAAACAGCTCAGCTAGGTGAAAAAGAAACAAAAAAGG